TGTGATCCCGTTGCCGGTCCCCGGTCCGGTACGGGGGCAACACTGAGGGTTGCGATCCGTTGCCGGACACGGAAAAAGACAAAAGACAAAAAAAAAAAAAAAAAGATCCCCTTACTGGTCATCTTTTAAAAATAAATAAATAAATTTGTAAAGGGTTAAAAAAAGAAAAAAAAGATATTCAACAGAAAACTTAATTAGCCTATGTTCTAGACCATCAGTAGCACTAATGAATGTACAGCCTCTGTAAACTCAAAGAATATATTATTGTCCCTCTTATCCAAGGCAATGATGAAAGCCATGTATGAAAACAGTCCCAGGAGTCATTAATCACCACCTTAGATTTGGTCCTACAGAGCCCAGGATGCTCACCTTCACACCAATTGCCTTAAAGAGGGCAGGATGTCTCAGTGGCAGCTCCACCATCTCCTTTATCTGAGCTAGCTGCTTCCTGCAGCCACCAATGTCATCATAGCCTACTTCGTTCAAGGATTCTTCCTCATCCTGAACATAGAGGAAAGAAGGCAGGCAGGAATACAGTGTCAGAAAAAGCTGAGTTTTTCCAAATCATGCCACTATCTGGTATGAAAAAATCTGCTGTATGAGTGTGAGAAGATTCTCTTCTAAAGGGATCCTGCCTCAAAGAACAGCTATAAAAATCCCACGGCAAACATTTCTAGCACAGCCTTCCCCTTTCACTGTTCTTCATCTTACTGGCAAGGGGTCCCTAAAACCTTAAGCTAGAAACCTTGAGAACGGGCAGAGGTCTAGATGCCATCATCAACTCTACACTAAAATTTATTCCAGTCACTTACACCTTTTGGGCTCAATCTAAGATTTTTTAAATTCCTGGTATTAGGTACTTCCAAGAAACAGCTAGGCCCAGAAATTAATAGCTAAGAGGTTTTCCACCTCTGGAAAGAAGCTTAGTTCCAAACAGCACCCAGTCTTGACAGCTACCGTATGACTGCCACACTGAGTAATCATGAAATCAGGTACCAGGTACTAGGATCAGGGAAAAAACTCACCTCTCGTTTGATAGGCTCCCCTTCACAATGGATCACTGTGTCTGGAGCAACAATACAATAAGGGCTGGGATCTGTCTCCACCACTTTGAACTCTACAGCACGCATCCCACCCCGGACAAGGAAAATGTCTCCTATGAAAGAACAAGGAGTACAAGAGCAGTTAGAGGTGGCACAATAATTGTAAGATCAAGTGAAAATTCTTCATCAGACCCTGGGGTATAAAATGCCAAGCTCACTACATATTGTCCTGTTCCCATTCCCCTGTACCATGTCTTAGTAAGCACCAGGAAAGAGAATAAAGCTAATCTGTGAAGAGTCCCTCTGCCTCTCAAGAGGACAGTGAACAAAACCTGATATGCCAGAAGCCCATAAAGTTTTGACTACTGGGATATAGGTAGCCCAAGTTTTCACAACCATCACTAATGGTAGAACTGTGCACTGTAGACTGTGACACAGCCAAAACAGACCACCTTCTCCTTCACAGATACACAAGAAGATAGCTTACTCTCCTGGAACAGAGAGGGAGAGAGGGAAGACACACGAACATGTATACAGTATGCATCTGTGTGTGCATATATGAAATATGAAAATATGTAAACCTTGGAACAAAGATGTTCCAAGGTTTACTCCCTACAAACAACCATCCTTAAGCTCACTCCCTAGAATTATCTCTCACCTTTCCGGATGGGTCGATAAGCTTCCAGGAAGTATGGCTTAAGGTATACCTCGAAGAGATTGCCAGTGATGCCTTCCACTGTGTCATCAATGGGTAGCACATGGATACGTTTGCCGTACTTCACATCAGGGCATGGCTGGATGCTGAGGATGACAAGCAGACTCACATTACCAACCAAACTGCAGCCCCAAGCATTGGGCGTCTGAAAGGGCCTGGCACAGACAGCTGATGGTGAGCGAAAGAGAAAAGGAAGGGATGGCTTTAGGTGAAGAGAGGAAGGAAAGCAAGGTGGGAATGAGGGCAAAGGAACAGCCAAGCAGAACTAAGACAGATCACACTCAGGGTGGGGGTAGTAGGAAGAGCCACTAGAAGAGGCTATTAGGGCAGCCCATTCCAAATCAGTGAGCCAAAATCAAGAGCCACACATTTAGAAACTCCACAAAGAAAACATGTAGAGTCTTCAATGACAGATATCCAAGCATAACCCCTTCTAGCTAGTATTTGTGACCCAGTATCTCAGCTGGGTGGTCAGGTCAGAAAACCTTGAGAAAGTGACTAACCAACCCCAGAAAGAAAGCCACACAAAACTTAGACTCTGTGAAAAAGAATCAGAAGCCTACAATGATCCTGGCCAGGTGATGGGTGGTTGGGTAGTAGTGGCAAGAGATAACTGCAAAATGGGAAGCCTCTTGCCTAAACTTATGTAGGAACAAGCAAAATCACTCACACTGGAGCTATCCTGTGTCTGGCTCCCACTATGCTTCTCTCCTAGGTTAACCCAGGTCCTTAAAATACCTGCTAGGAGCCCATCTTTCATGCCTACACCCCACCTCATTCTGGCCCCAAAACAGCCATTAATTGAACACAGTAGTGAGAGCAGTGAGGTTATTCAGCAGATACACACCCTCAAATGGCACCCTAAACCAGTGTATCATGTATGATAAGTTACGCCTCAGGAAGGAATAAATAAAGCCATTAAGAAAGTCACAGAAATGCCAACTTGTCCCATCGGCCATGCAGAGGTGGATTTTGAAGTCCCAGGAAGGCAGAACTGAAACCTAAAAACAACCCTGAAGCAGAAGTCTTCCCATGGCCAGAAGGCTTCCTGTATCTGCAACTGTCAAGGACTTCATCCTGCCTATAATGCAGTCTGTCACTGGCCTCCCATCCCTGAGGGGCCAAGAACTCCACACACACCTGATAACATCCCCTAGGCGAACGCGAAGGTTATTCCGAACAACTCTATTCATTCGAATCTTCTCATCAGAACATGTGTCATCAGAAAGCACAATGCACACAGCTTCCCGCCTCTTCTTTCCTTTCAGCAACACTGTGTCACCTCGGAACAACTGCAGTTCATCCATCTTGGGCTGAGGAAAGAAGGTTAAGGCTTTTGGGTCATTGGGCAAAAGGGGGTAACCAGCAGTGCTGGAGGCTGGGATTCCCAGTAAACCCTACTCTATCCGTGATCACTGCAAGAAAAATGAGAAAAGAAACCTGGGAAAATCCCACAAGTAAGTGCAAAAAGTAAAGACTGAACTATGGACCCAACTTACCTGAGACAAGGACACCACACTATTGTCCTCATTGATGGCTTCATCAACAATTAACCGATTAGGACGGTTCTTCTGTTTAAGAATGGCTGTTGATAAGTCATCACCTTTTGAACTAAAAGGAGGAGATAAAGTTAGTCCCAAAAGATACTCCAGTTCCAGGGCCCCACCAGTCTCTAAAACACACTTAGAAAAGAAATGGTGGATAGATGGAAGTTGTCCCTATACCAAAGAGCTCAGATGAAGAAAATTCAGCCAAGGTCACGAGGAACAATATCTAGCATATATTACAATCCTCATGCTAGCAGCTCTTGGTATTCTGAGCAATGGTTCTGCAGCTATAAGGCCCCAAGTGATCCTGCCCCAGGTTGAGGTAACTACGGCCTAAGAAGAAGACATAATAGAAATGGAGGCTGAATAGCAATTAGAGAAATTAAAGTAGTCTTAGACTATAAATAATAGTGGTTAATGGGGTTGGCCAGTTAGCCTAGTTGGTTAGAGTGTGTGCTGATAACACCAAGGTCAAAGATTCAATTTCTGTACTGGCCAGCCCCCTGCTCTCCACGCCCCTCCCCCCAAAAAAGAATAGTGGTAAAGAGCAGGGGCTCTGTGGTTAGACCTGTTGGGTCTAAATCCCAACCCTGTCACTGCTTAACTGTGATCTTGGGCAAGTCAGTTAACCTCTCTGGACTTTGATGTCCTCGTACCTGTCTCAGAGGTTTATTGTCTTAGCAAAATAATGAATGTAAAATGCTCAACACAATGCCTTGCACATGGCATTAATGGTCACCATGATTAGCACTGCAGAACAAAGCACAAATAGCACTTTCCTTGCTAATCTTCCAGAGAAATAAAGTGAGCCCAACAACTTCCCTGTTACCCCAACAGCTCAGGGAGGCCCCAAGTCCCACTAAGCAAAACTGGGGACAATGAAGCAGAATCATTAGCACTACCCTCCTTATAGGCTAAATCTGTTGAATGCCAAGCACAAAGAAAAAACAGTAACAGACACATTTGGAAAAAAAAAGTAACCGACCTGGAACCCTCAGAAAGAAGCTCAAGATCAAAGGAGTTTCACAATAATTTCTTTCCTTCTTTTTTTTTTTTTCAAAGATGATTGGTAAGGGGATCTTAAACTTTGACTTGGTGTTGTCAGCACCATGCTCTCTGAAGTGACCAACTGGCCATCCCTATATAGGGATCCAAACCCGTGGCCCTGGTATTATCAGCACCACGCTCTCCCAAGTGAGCCACGGGCTGGCCCATGCCTCACAGTAATTTCTGCAAAGGAACACAACTCCATGGAGGTGGTTCAAAAAGTGAAAACCAAGAAATGCTGAAATCCCTTTCACCCAAATCAAGGTTGCCTGAATCTAAACTCAGTTTCTATCATTTCCTAAAAGCTAGAATCATTCTCCGGACTGTGACACCAATTTCTTACCTAGCTCATCTCTAGCCTTCACTTACTAGACTCAGTGGGCTCTCCCTTTGAAGAGCTACCTTCTCTTAAGAAAGTCTCAGGAAAACATGAGCATTAACCCAGATAGGGAGGCCAGACAATGGAGGAAGCAAAGAAAAAAAAAAAAAAAGAAAATTATGTCTTCACTCAACAAATTAATTAATGAGTATCTATTAGGCACCAGGCGCTGTTCTAGGTGCTGGAGATACAGCAGTCAACACAAGACAAAATAGTATTCCCATTAGAAATATCTTCACAATTTGCAAGAAAAGAAGAAAATATGCCTCTGCTCTAGAATACCAGCTAGGGAGCTACGGTGTTTTTTACATTTTTTGGTCCTGATACACCCGAAAAAATACACACCCTATTCCTCTAACAAAGTGGTAAGCTTTCTGCTGACCCTCACACATAAGTTACATCTTTAACCACTGCCTTTAAACTAGTTTCCAAAGGTAGTTTCCTCAGCTCAAACTTGCCTCTCCCATCCCAAAGTTTGCCACTCTGGGTACAATGCTGCAGAGCAGGCAGACTTCTAATGCTTATCAACAACCTGGAGCTCAAGTATGGTCAATGTGACAACTGAAGGCAATGTAAACCCATCAGTTCTCCCAAACCTAACCATCAAAATACCGTTCCAGAGGCTGCCCATCTTCCTACATGATCTATAGGACTGAGGCTGGAGAAAAATAAAATGCCAGATGTCTCTAGTCATCATAGTTTGTATTTTAATCTCAAAGCTACGTTCTAGGAAAACCTCCAGTCTGCCTACCGTTCCTAACCCTGGTTCTGGAGATGAGTGGTATGTTCCTCCCTTAAGGTAAAATTCCTAATTTCCCATCTATCTACCCAGATCAGACGTGGTAATCTCTAAAAGAGTGAATTCAGCCTGACCATGGGCCAACAGCAGTTGTGGATAGCTCTTTTGGACATCCCCCACTGTCTTCTGCATAAGTCGGGTCCTTTCCAGAACCCCAACAGGCCACAGGGAACTTAGAAGGGGTTCAGGTAAGAGTCATCAAGATGACTTAGAGATTAGAAACTGCCTGTGATGCCAGGTTCCAAGGATCTTAGATTTGTATTTTTGAAAACAAAAGACTGATTGGCTATAACCTGAGAATTTTTTTTTTTTTTAAAGATGACTGGTAAGGGGATCTTAACCCTTGACTTGGTGTTGTCAGCACCACGCTCTCCCAAGTGAGCTAACCGGCCATCCCTACACAGGGATCCCAACCCGTGGCCTTGGTGTTATCAGCACCGCACTCTCCCAAGTGAGCCACGGGCCAGCCCTTAACCTGAGAATATTTTAAGTATTAATAAATAATCCTTTTAAATAAGCGACTGAGTAATACTTCATTCCAATTCAGAAACTTGAGAAAAAGGACACGTCAAAAAAATAATCCCTTCAAGGCAGGAAGGTGATTTGCATACTAGAGTTTCCACAGGCTGGCTGTGTCTTTTTTTTCAGCACCTAAATCTCTCCATCCTAAACTGAATGGGCTGAGGTGGCCAGGTTTTAGTTGATGTTTTCCTGAGGAATGGAGGTAGGAAGAGAAAGTCCCAGAGCCGAGAGACTTCCTCAACATAGCTGCTTGGGGAAAGGGAGGGGTGTGTGTGTGTGTGTGTGTTGGGGTGTGTGTGTCTGTGTGTGTTTGAAGACTTAAGGAAACTCTAACCTGCATACCACTAAAGCTGAAGGCCCATAAAATACGAACTCAGATTCGAACTTTAGCAAGAACCTAAAATAGTAGAAAAAATTCCTTTCTCCCCACCCCCAGGTCATAACATCAAGGGAAACTGGCTAAAATTTTCTCGTATGAAAAACAGGCATAAAATAGAAGGCCAGAAGCCCTCTCCCTAACATCCCCTCACTACTCAGGTCGCAGACGATGCCACCCTCCGGGCACGGCGACCCGCTTCCAAAAAGGCAGCCGTGAGCTTCCCTGAACTCGCTGTGCCTTCCCCCGCCCCGGCCTCCGCCTGGGTCCCTGGGCTCCCGAGGTCTTCACGTGGCCCAAAGTCCACGCCCACCGGGCCCGGTTTGGGGCCTTGGGCTCGCGGGGCCTGCTCTCTCCCGGGACCGAAGGCCTTCAGCGTGTGGTGAGCCGGACTGCAGACGGGCGGGCGCCCCACGGCGCCGGGGCTCGGCGCCGGGGCTCTGCGCCGGCAGTATGGGCCCAAAAGACCTCGCCAGGCCCGGACGGCCGTTCCGAGGGAGCCAATCAGGTGGGCCGGGGCCTGCATGACACAGCACGATCTGGCCCAGGCTCCGACCCGGGCCCAACGCAAGCCCCGCCTAGGGGGCGCACGGGGGCGCAGCCGGGCCCAGCCGGGCCCGCGTCCCCTCTTCCGCCCCTTCCACTCCTTCCCGGTCTCCTCTCAGACGAGCCCACTGCCAGGCCCCGCCGGGCCCACCCAGCGCGGCGGATCTCGCGGTGCGCGCCCCCGCAGAGGGGGGCGGGCGCGCGTACACACTCACTCAGCTCCGGAGGCCATGACGCGCGCCTCTCCCGGCCGGCGGCTGTGGCGGCCCGCGGCTAACGGCTACAAGGGGTGGTAGGCGACCGACTGGGCCGGGGCTCGGCTTCCCAAGCGGGGGTCGAGCAGTGGCAACAAACCCGCAGGCGGCCTCCCTCTCGCTTCCTCCCAGCGGCACCGGGGAAGTGGGCGGGCGGGCGGGCGATGCCGGCTCCTGATCCTTGAGGGGACAGCGGGATGGACGACTCAAACGGCGGCTGCAGGCGCTTCGCTGAGACTGAGCCGAGAAGAGCCGAATCATCGGAAGGAAAGCTGCTCTCACCTCAGCCAATCAGCGCCTGCCCTGGGGACTCCCTCCCGCCTCTTCGCGCCTCTCCCCAGCAACCCGCGAATGAGAGCCAATCAGAAAATTCGTTTATGGCCTGGCTCCCGCCTCAGGGATGCAACACAACTAGTAACGCCACGTAATTGGCCGAAACGCTACCCTTCCTCGACGATTGGCATTCTCGACCAATCAACGAAAGGAATAGGGCCAGATCGACTAGTAAAAGGAGAGCCTTTAATCCCTTGGAGGTGGACTCTCCCATTTGGCTCCAGTTCATTGGCTCCTGAGTTTATCTTCCTGGAAGAACTTGGCACAATGGATTGAACCCTTGTATTAGTCTAGTCCTGTTGTAATAATAACCTATACACCCATCTTCTCCCAAAACCTGGGGATCCTCTAAGCCTCCACCACCACCCTAACCCTTCTCCTTGCTCCTTCAAAACGCTGGCTTCAGCCAACCCAGGTCTTAATCCACTCTACCCTCTTGTCATTGCACCTTCTGGTAACCCTAATCCCATTGGTTTTGCAGTTTCTCAGCATTTGGGGGGTGCATGCTGTCCTTACCATAGGGTAGTAATATTAATGATTAGAGGATGGAGGGTACCGTGGTACTCCCCAGAGAGGTCAAAGGGCAACCACAGAACACAGAGTGATCAATAGAGCACAAAGCAGCAAGAAAATTGCATGCTGGGACTTGAAGTCCTTGGGCCCAAAATGATAGCTGGCCTTGACTGTAGTTAATAGGCAGCTCTTAGTGGCATGCTGAATAATTTACCCATCTTCCCCTACCCACACAGACACATTTGACTGAGACAGGTCCAGTTTCTAGAACTCGAGATTAGGGAGGGAGTCAGGAATCACTCTAAGAGACTCAGGTTTACCTGTCCCTCCTCTCTATCAAGTACCTGCCCCTGTCCTGAGAGGCCTGTCTAGACCACTCTCCAGACCCAACTCCACTTACTCTGTCACTTAGTACAGGATCCTGAGCTTTAGGGCTCTGCTTTTAGGCAATGGGAAGGACTAACGCCACTACTTTCAGAGTAAGAATTCCCGTAGCCTTGTCCTCATACCCATATCTCAAGTTCACAAGGTAGATGATATTGGGAGAGAGCATCTTAGACAACCAGCACTGAACTAGGCAGTTGTGAGCCTTCCCACTCGAGTATATGTAGTAGGCAGATGAGAGATAAATATGACATTTTACTCAACACAAGAAAAGGGAAAATAGGAAAAAAGGTGCCATGAGCAAAGGTGATGAGTTGGTGGCAGGGAATGCTTCCTCCAGAACCAGAATGGCAGTAACAAGGGAAAACTTTGCAGAACTACCACCAATCTCACCAGTGCAGGAGTTATATAGCAATGATCGGCTCTAGCCATATTCCCCAAGGATGGTAAAGCAGAAAGCCCTCCCCACAGAGATGGCCCACAGGGGCCCTGGCTCAAGCACTTGGAAACATGGCAGCTACAGGTCACATGGCTCCAGCAGAGATGTCCGGAACTCTTCAAGGAGGGCTTCACGGTCAGGGGGATGGATCCAACTCAAATAGGTTTGTAGGTACAGAGGGAGAGACCTAGAGAGCAAGAAAGTGATGCTTTTCTTGAAAGAGTGAAAGATAGGCAGAAGTTGGGCAACCATTCCCTCCCTTTCATTCCTTACCACCCCCAAAAGGCCCAAGGACTCTAGGATTCCAACTGCTCTTCAGTCCCAGGCCAGCAGGCCTCACCCTCACCATACAGTATCTTCCTGTGGCAACTTAGTTTGGGCATCCAGCCTCCACCAGAGAGCAGTGGCCTCATCCCTCCGATCCAATTTCCTCAGAGTCTGAAGCAGGTGAAAGGAAGCATCTTGATTACCTGTAACACGACCCCAGAGTACAGTGTTAGAACTTGACATAGTCTTTTTATAAGCATCAGTTTTTAAATTTATTTATTCATTTTAATTATTTTTTTTTTAAAGGATGACCAGTAAGGGGATCTTTAAAAAAAAAAAAAAAGAAAAGAAAAGGTAAGTGTCTTGCTACACTCACACATGGAACCAGGGGTAGATCATCCTCAAACATTCCTATCCCAGGATCTACCACCAGCCCAGTACAAAGGGCTCAGCGGGCTCTGCTCCTACCAAACCTACCCAGCACAGTCATAGTCTTTGTGTCTGAGGACATTAGGAAAGACCAGGGAACTCTCAGGGGCCCTGCATACACACTTGTATATGTCTGTATGTACATAACTGGATATATCTCTAAGTATATACAGCACAACACCATTCACCCCTCCAGTCTGGGAATACCACCCTTACACTTATGCTTAAGTACCTCCCCCATGGGCCTCTCTGTCCTTGCACATCTGTGCATAGCTGATGTAATGCAAGTATACATACCTGGGCACATTTGAACACTGAGGAGGAAGTCCTGTAGAGCTTTGGTATCCTGGCCACTGGCTACCCATTCTAGTCCACGACTAATCAGGGCGGCTGCTCGAAGCTGTTGCAGCACCACATCCGACCTACAACACTGCTCACAGTAGGAAGGTGCCCCTAGGGACCACCCCCACAGTCAAGAAGTGTCTTCCCAGCCACACAGTCATCGAAACCCCAAGTCCCCCTCTTTCTCTTCTTATGTCCCGAGTCCCATTCTCTTATGTCCAGAGAACCCACTTCTACCACCACCACTTCCAGTAGGTAAAAAGAAAATTGAAAATCTAGATTACCTTGTTCCTTGACCTTAGGAGTGACCCGGAAGAGCAGCTCAAGGCACCTGAAGTGGGACATGGAGCAGGGGTGAAGAGGAATCAACCTCAGAAACTTTGACGAGTGGGTAAGAATGGAGCTTACCAACTCAGGTCCCAATCAGAAAACCATTCCTCCACACCTTCCCCAGGACCCTGGGTAGCTTCCTCGGCTCACCAGCTAAATTCACTAACTGCCTCCTTTTGGGCCCCCAGTTGTACCCAGGCCTGGCCCTGAAGCAGGTGAGTGGCAGAGACCCAGAGTGGACACTGAGGAGGTTCCCTGGTTCCTTTTCTGGCATCTTCCCACAGCCAGGACATCTTGGGAAGCAGAGATGATGTGCGGCTGAGCAGCTCCTCACATACGGTCAAAGCATCCTGGGCTTGTCCTGCCTGGATCAGTGCTGCTGCTGCTTCCAAGAACACCTCAGGCATACAGGGGCCTGAGGGGCAGGGAGGTGGAGAGAACTGGGGTGGAAGGAAGATGCAGTGTCTTAAGAGGTATGAGCCACCATCCCCAACCTCTTCACCAGGCTCTGGTACCATGCATAGACCTGGCCCCCCAGATTGGACAGACAGAGGCAAAAACAGAAAATAGCAGTCTTGCTATATCCCTTAGTGGACCCTAACCCTTCCACCTCACTGCAGAGAACCTTGAAGACACACTCACCCTTGGCTCTGAGTCATCCAGCAACAGGGCCAGCAGGTCCAAGTAATGCTCTGCAGCATCTTCTGCCCTGAGGAGTCATAGCCCATGAACCTCGCCTTAGACCCCAGCAGGGCCTTCCCTCCAAGGGGTCTGGTAAGAATATTCTCTCTTAGCTAAAAAAAGGATGCTCAAGGGCCTTGAGGAGTAGAGAGAAGGTGGGTCTTAGGGCTCCAATCCTGGCTCAGTATGGATCTATCCCAATTACAAAATGGATTGGGGAGACTTCAGAATTTCAAAGACAGAGGTTTAATATATCGGTGAAGAGTACTCGGTTCAGGTTCAGCAGCAAAGTAGGAGGCTGAGGAGTGGGGATCTCTGTCTTGCCACTATCTCATTCTTCTCCCAATTCATGAGAACAAAAGCAGAGTCACACTTCAGGGAAGGCATCAGAAGTGGAAAGAGAAGCTTAAGTGAGCAAGGGAGAACCTCACCTCCCTGTCTGTAGGCATCGGCTTGCTAGCAGGTGCTTGGCCTGACTCTGTGTGCCACAGTGAAGGGGTGAGGCTGGGTCGGGTTGTGGGAGTAGCAATTCTACCTCAATGAGAAGTTGGGGAGCTTCAGAGCTGTGGGTGACACTCAAGGCCTAAGAGAGACAGAAAGAAGAAAATATATCTATAATCTTTGGGAGCCACACTTCCTTATACTTGTATCTTGACTAGTTATCCCAACACAAGCACCTCGTAATCCACCCTGTATCTTCACCTGGCAGTTCCTTACCTCAACCAGCAGCTCCAGACTCTCCAGCTCTGCTGCTGTGTCCCCCAGTTGCCGATATAACCTGGAGGCCTCCAGAAGTGGGGGACCCCCAGCTGATCCCCCTTTCAGAGCTGCAACCAAGTATAGCAGTGCTCTCTGTGGATTTCCCTAGAAGGGTGGGTGTACAAAGGCCTTAGCTACCCTCACAAAGCAGAAAGCTGCCCATAATGCCCATGGTTTCCCCCAACCCACCTTAGGACTATCTTTACCATCTTACGGAGACAGGTCCCCAGGGCTGTGTACACCTGGACCAACACAGGCCGTGGACATGGACCTGAGGCCGCTTCATGCAGGCTGTTCAGTGCCCTGGGCAGGCTCCCTGTGATCAGATCCTGGAGGCCTGGGGGCAATCAGGGTGTGAGCTTAGAGAGGTCCACAGGGCAGGGCACAAGATGGAGAACAAGTATCCAGAGAAGCTCCATGGAGCTGAATGGAACATGAAAGAGAGGGCATGAGCACTCTCCTTAAGGAAGAAAGGGATGAGTCAGGTTGCTAGCTGACCTTGGCGGTAGGCAAATGCTGTCAGAAGGACATCCCTCAAGCCCCGGGCATCCTGCAAGGTCAATGGGGCATCTGATTTCTCGGCTGGGGGGCTCCAAGTTTTTAGAAGCAGCAATAGATGCTCAGAGGCTCTGCTCTGCGGAGAGAAGGACAACCAGAGGCTCCAAGCCTGTACCCACCCCCTTTTCTTCATTCTTAGTCTCTCCTGGCTGGACCTGGAGTTTAAGGGTCCTTATGATTCCTGTTCCCTCAATTCTAAGAGATAGATAACTGTGGGGCAAGGATAAAGGGAGGAAGAAAAAGTGGGGCAGTGATGATCGATGCTAGTGTACCTCTTCACTCAGAATAAGCCCATGAGGACATGGGGCA